TAATCTTATTTTAATTGGACATGGCAAAGCCGTGTTCGACACGTGTCCGTGCCATATCGGAGGCGTATCTGTATCTAACGTGTGTCCGATACAGCATGCCTCGTAAACAAGATTTAAAATTGCGTAAATAAGCCTTGAGGCATTTTTCGTTCGTTAGGCGAGGCATAAGTTTCGAGGTGATGTAAGGCGTAAGCCTCACGGATAAATAATTGTATAAATGAGAATTAAAGTATTCTAGTAGGTAAATAACAGTACAAGTCTATCATATAATAAAAACATCTAAATGAGAGGTGAAATTAGTGGAAAACAATAAAATAAATGCAACATATGCATCTCATATCATAATTCAAAGGATAAAATAAAAAATATAAGTCTATTAAAACTCCCAAAGTACAAATAAGAATGAACATATAAATCGAATCATGTCCCATCACTAAATGGGTCTTCAAGGGAATCTTATTCTCCAATTTTATCTATGAATGTCAAATCTTCATCATCTTCAATGTTACCCACTTTTTTTTGTCCTGTTCAATAAGAATAATTATTGTCATGTTAATTGCATATATATAATATAATAGCACATAAGAAATTGTGAGATATCTTTATTTACTTGTTGTGTTACAGAACTAGTAGATGTGTGTAGTGTGGTACTAGTTGATGTACCCACTTGAACTGCTTCGCCCCTCAAAACATCCACACTTAGATCCTCTAGCTGTAGGTCAGATAATGGCAAATCTTTCTCATGATCTATGAACCACTCATTATCAGACGTCACATCATCACACACCAAAGGGTCCTCATCATCCTTCAATCCCTTGTTCCTCAACCTCCTATCTCTCAACCTCTTGTTGTGCATAATATACACAAGGGAGGTCATTCTGAGTGTTGAAAGTCGATTTCTTCTCTTCGTTTGCACTTGACTATTTGTGCTCTAGTTTCACTCACACCTAGAGGAATAACAAATGAGGCCCAAAACTCTAACTGCAAAACTTTGTAAATCAATGGTGGAATCACCAAATTGGATCCGTCATTCAATTATTTTCAAGAAGAAAAATGATAATCACATAAGGTGCTACATTTTTATGTGAGTCGGATAAGTGTTCCTTCATGCGTGTAACTCCTCCCTTCACCACCTTATCACAAAAATTGCATTTTAAATACACATGTCTTCTTGTCGCCTCCTACATCAACCTGCACACTATATTTTCAAGAAGGGTCCCACTGCAATGACGTATTTATTTTTTTCTTGCCTCTAACCATGTTTCCTAATGTACAAATGCGAAAAAAAAAACAAAAAATCTCAAAAAATAAAAAACCATAAATTTTCTATAACTTGAAAAATCTTACATTGAATTAAAAAAAAATACCTAAAATCGGTAGTGGAGTTATCGTAGAGGGCGGCCGGACACTAGAAGCTCACCAGCGTGAGGCAGCGCTGGCGGGAGAGGCGGAGGGAGGGGAGGCCAAGCGAAGCTAGAGTGCAGACTTGCGGTTTTGCGAAGCTAGACCGTTTTGTTTGGGAAGGCGGAAAGAAGAAAGGGGAAGAAGGGTTATTTCATTAAGAACTTAAGTGTGTGGGACCCGGCTATATGGGAGGCGTGCGCCTCACTCAGAATTGCGCAATTCAGCCTTCGAGGCGCACCTCACAAGCACAGAGGCGTACGCCTCAGATGGACCCAAAAAAGCTTAAGCAATGAGGCTCTTTGGGGCACAATTGCGTAGAGGTGCGCCTCGAGGCGCACCTCTTATTGCACAATTTTAAACTATGCTCATAAATATGAGTATTGGTGCAACATAGCATTCAACACTTCTCAAACATGTGTCGAACACTATGAAAGCATGCCCATCTAAAAAATATAAAAAATAAATTGGACAAACATGCCTTAAATATTTTATAATTTTTTAAGTAAAATTTCTTGTATTTAAAAATTATATTTATTAAAAAGGTAAAAACTTAATTTCTTGTTTCATCTTCATAGCCCTAAATCATTCGCTAGCACTCAATATCTCATTTATCAATCATTTGTTTTCGCATTTCTCTATAGCAGGTCATGACTAGGGTTTCACAACAACACCCAATGTCATCTCAACATCGACGTCCAACGTCATCACAATATCAATGTTTCAAAATCATCTCAACATCGAAGTATGAGACTATCTTGACATTGACCCTCAATGCCAGCAATTACTACACCCATAATCATGCCCTCTATGAATTCTCAACATCTCATGTTTGTCCAACATCATCTCAATAGCAACAAACAATACCATCCTTACTTTGACGACTGACATCTCCCCTCTTGATGCCCAACACAATAAATCCTAATATAATTATTTTAAGCACAATTCCTAATTAAATGACTTAATATTTTTCAATTATTCTTAATATTATGTTTATTCAATTTATATACACTATTTTTAAGATATAAAAATTATAATATCATATCCAACATGTATCGGTGTCCTAGATTTTTAATAATTGACGTGTCTCGTGTCCTGTGTCTTGTGTCCAAGTCATTTCGTGTTTGTGTGTGTACATCATAGATTGCAATTATAGAAAAATAAAAGAAAAGAAGAGAGTATAGAAATGAAGGCCGTAAGATTGTGGTAATATAGGGTGAAGCCTATTGTAATGGAAAATGATGAAGAGAAAAGCCTAGAACTCTGATACTAAGGACAAGAATTGGAGAAAACTGGTTTAGCATTCCATTCCAACATTTGTATACAATCCTAGGAGTGCTTCTAATAGGGAACATATAAAATCAATGGATAATAATTACATAATCATCATAATAGTCCAAAAATTGATGAATAAGTAAAACAAATATTACAGAATAATTATAATAATCCACGAATTAATAAGTAATAGAGATTCCATAGAACAATAATGTGGCAGAAGATGAGAAAGAAAAGAGGGGCAGATGTCCTAGTGAATGAGACTATGAGAGTCATAGATGATTAAAATTATGCATGTGTTTCACATATAACATACATGGGAGCCCCCTTACATTGCTATACATGTATAATGCATAATCATGCTTATCAAAGAGGAAGAAAATTAAGCAAAAAATAGGTTATTTTCTTTAGACTTCAACTGCATACAAAGTTAAATAATGATTATCATCAACAAGATCCAAGCTACTTCAAAAGTTCAAATCATTTCGTTCTACTTCTCTTTGTTTTGTTGGCTAAGATTCCAATCTTTTATCGGCATTTTGCCAATCTCATGAACGTACCAACCCATTTCTTATCCCTCCGTAACAACATAAACCTCCAAATTATCCAATACTATAAGTGACCACAAGAAGTAATAATGTCAAATGTCTAAATGATGGACCATGGAATTTAGTCTCATTGAAACAGGAAAACAATTGAAAGACGTACATTTTTTAAAGGCAAGAGTTTAATATTGATTTTTAAAAAAATATTAAAAAAGGCATCTGTTAGATGAATAACTAAAATTAATACTAAAGTATTAGGAAAAAAATGGTAGACCTAAAGTTGCATGAATATAAATTATTCACAACGATTTACTAAGAATAGATTTGAACACCTCAAACTCCATATAAATGAATAAAAAATGAAGATTTATGATGCCAAGTCCAAATAATTACATAAGGCTCATGAAAAGGGAAAGCAACAAATAATTTCAATTCCAATGAATAACCATGTGCCCACACATCTAAATAGTTACTTCTATCTCCCTTCTACATAAACAAGGTGGATATAAGTAGCATTTATCTTACTCTCCTATATTTGGACACTATCACAACTATAGCGAATTGTAATGCACTTCACACCAAGAACCTTAACATAGCACATAATAATCAATCAATAGCCTCATACAACTTTTTGGTGTCATCTTTATGAATCCCCTTTTTGGATTAGTTCATGTTTCGTCATTAGGGCTTTATAAGATGTTAATCTATTTCGTAGAAAAAATTTATGTGCAACAATGAATTATTTAAACTATGGCTTACACTTTCTCTTCTGAATCCTTGAACATGAATTTGATATGTTTATCTTAGTAGAATATATTCTATCATCTATTTTATATATCCAAATTGTCTAAGTATATATTACCTAATCTTTAAAGTGTCACATACATTATCTGTTAATATAAGCATTCCTCATTATCTTTTATAGTTTTATTTCATAATCATCTCAATATTTTAATTTCTTTGACACTCAAATATGCTATAAATGGCCCTTTATTTCCCAACACAAAAACCCAAATAGCATCACTAGTCTGACTATGATTTGGCTACAATTTTGAAATCTACGTCTAAGTCCCCATGTTATTATCTTATAGTGCAATAATCCTAATGCATTTCTCTATGATAACTGCCTAGGTCTAACTCAAAAAGTTATATCCTCACCAAGACCCTCATTATATTGCATAATAGATAAAAGATCACCAAACTTACAATACTTAGATATCATTTGATCTTCTAACAATACTGATTGAAAATTATTAATTTCACATTCATCAAAATTAGACAATATATATATATATATAATTTCTACTAATTCTAAGCTATCTAGCATCTAAAAGATTCCTCGGTCATTCAAATTCCACATAACTCTTACCTCATATAATTTTATACATTTAAAGTTAGATGAAACTGATAATTCAATTGCTTAAACCACTCGCAATATGTATTAACACAGTAGCTCTGCCATTTTAAAATGTGACAAATACCACACTTTCAAATAACAACAAATTGACAAAGCATGCTGAAAATTTACATCCTTGCATAATCCCATGAGATCCCAATTAAAGCAAATACCCCTTCCTAAAATATCAAAAGATGCCACAGAAGATCCAACCGGTATTGCCCAAACGCAATCAAGCACCGGACATCTAATTCATAAATCTTCAAAGTCATCGCATTTAAATTAATTAAAAAAAGGAACTAATTCAACTAAGCACTGCGGTTCGTCAAACCATTCTAATTAGAAGGAAGGGAAAGCGGTAAATAAAATAATGCCGAAGGTACCATGGTAACGACACCCCTCTTGCCGCCTCGTCCGGCAGGAGATGGCCTGAGTGAAGGGACGCGGATCTTGTGACCGGCGAAATCGACAGAAACGCTCCCTCCGACGAAAGGGGCAGTGAAGCCGCTCCCCAAAGAAGCACATAAAGAAGAGCATGGGAAGGCACTTGCAAGCTGAGAGAGTCCATTTCTTCCGCTTTGAGATATATTTGAGTTGCAGGAGAAGACGCGCAGCTCCGGTGATAAGCGTGGGGAAGAGAAGGCCACTTCCATTTTTGCAGATGGCGAGAGCAATAGAGCATAAGGGAAGCGAATGGAATTGGAATTACCGTGAAATTTACGGCTCAAAACGGATACTCGGACCGGGCCGGATTAAGCAAGGGGTCTTTCGATGGACCTCGGTTGGTCTTCGTTTCTTCACCATTTTCAGTTTTTTTTTTATTTTTGGGTCGCTTTCGTATTAACTTTCTTGTTCTTTTTAAATTTTATTTTCTAAAAATTAGTTCAAAACAAGAAAGAAATTTAACTTTTGATATGCCTCATAATAATAAAAGTTGAAAATATGCCCATTTTTTTCAAATTTTTATTCAAAGTTCGTTTTAACAAACATCCTCTCATCAAGTAGAAATTATTCTGTGCGGAGTCCAGACGGGAAGAACTATTCAAATTACTGCGTATTTATTGAATATTTGTTGAGTATTTATAAATACTCAATAAACATTTGATAAATACGTACTAAATCACCAAATACTCATAAAATACTCAATGAATACTTACAAATTATTCAGCAAATACTCACAAAATAATCAGTAATACTCATAACTAAATATTTGTTGAGTATTTATAAATAACCAACAAATCAGTAAATATGCAGCAAATTTGGACAGCTCTAGCCGTCCGTAATAATTTCTCCTTATTGGTGACCCTAACAACCACCAGTGGCCACATTACAGCGGCGGAGAGAGGAGGGGTCCCGCTGGGGAGAAATTATTCTATGTGGAATCCGGTCACAGGTCTATGTTCAGATGCTTACGTGGAAAGTAAAAAGTCCGGGTTATTTATATTGACTTGCGTTAACCCGACGATACCCTACCCGTCAAAATTATTTGTTTTCCAGCCCGACCCAGGCATAACATTAAATTTAGGTTGGCGCTTCTTTTTTTTTTCAGAATTTAAGGCGCGAATCACCGCAATATATAACGCTTCAGCCAAAATTTTCGCAGAAAAAATGTCGATGAAGATGAAGATTGATCTAGATGTGGAGGAGGATGTTTGTTTTTATGAGCAGACAATATTTTCGCAGGGCACGGAGGAAGCCGATAACCTGGAGAATGCCGACGTCCAGGAAACGAGCGCACATGAAGCAGAACACCTAAAACCAGTGCGACTGGACGAAAAGTTCAGCTTATCGATAAAGTTCGTCTTCTTCTAAGTTTTCTTTATAGCAATGTTCCAATTAAATTTCTTTATAGAGTCGTTTTTTTGATGTAATTATTTTAGGTACAAAGATTTTTGATGTATTTATTGTGTTTTACGAAGATGCGTATTTTTATCAACAATGTACATAATGTTAAATTGTATTTGGCTTTAAAAGAAGACTCGATTGTCCCTTCTTTTAAAGTAGTTTTGAGCTAGGGTACAATAACAAATTTGTAGTTCGATTTTCTTAATGCAAAGTTTTGTTGCATACTAATTGTGTATGTATTGCTTATTTGTTTGATATACATTGAGTATTAGTTGTGTATTTGTTTGGTATACATTGCATATTAATTACGCATTTGTTAAGTTTTTATTGCGTATTGGTTGCGTATTTGTTGAGTATTGTTTTGCTTAATTACTGCTTATTAGTTGCGTATGGATAATTCATTTATTGTGTATTTATCAAGATGTTTATGTTAATGAGAAAGAGGCATACGAGGCTTATTATAATTATGACCAAAATCTTAGTTTTAATGTTCATAAGGATCATCACAGTTACTTGCCAAATTTCAGAAATTTAAAATCTAAAGACTTTGTTTATTCAAAAGCTGGTTTCAAGAAGTTGCATGATCTTAATATCCAAAGAAAATATCGAAAATCAGATAACCAAATTGGTTGTCCAGCTATGATTAGGTTTACAGTGGATGAAGCTGGATATTAGAAGGTGAAAAAATTTATTGAAAATCACAATCATGATTTGCCTAGGCCAGAAGACCAGCATCTTCTTAGATCATGCAGGAATGTGTGTGATGAAAAAGCTTCTGTTCTTAAAGCAATGACAGATGCTGGGATAAGAACCATTAATGCATTTTCCTTCCTTGCTGATGAAGTTGGAGGTGTCGAAAATATTGGATTCACAAGGAGGGATGCGTACAACTTTATTCAAAAAATAAAAAGAGCAAAGATTGAATTTGGAGACACTAATACTTTGATTGAGTTATTTAAAGAATGTCAACTTAATGATAACATGTTCGCTTAGGATGTCCAGAACGATGAATTTGATAGATTGTTTTTTTTTTTTTTGGATTGATGGGATTGGTATGATAGATTATGACTACTTTGGTGATGTGGTAATTTTTGATACAAGTTATAGGCTTAATAAGTATAATTTGGTATGCGCACCATTTGTTAGGGTTAACAATCATTGGCAAAACATTTTACTTGGTGTGGCCTTCTTGTTCGAAGAGACAATTGAATCATTTACGTGGCTATTTACAACTTTTGTGCGAATGATGGATGATAAACATCCAAAAACAATATATACAGATCAAGATCAGGCAATGGCTAGGGCCATATAAGTTGCACTACCTCACAGTCTCTATAGGCTGTGTCAATGGCATATCCGTAAAAAGGCTCCATCCAAAGTATTATGCTACAATACCAATAACAAAGTCAAAGGCCTCTTCAATAAGTGTTTGAGCAGATGTGACTCTGAAGAGGAGTTTGAGAATGCATGGGCTAAATTGATCATACAAGGGAACCTCCAAGATCATGTTTGGTTGCATGATCTTTATAGGATAAGGAATAAGTGGTCAACAGCCTTCAATAAGGATTGTTTTAGCATGGACATTCTATCCACACAACGTAGCGAGTCTACTAATAATATGTGTCATGGCATTTCTAAGCCCATAAGTTCTATAACTGATTTCTTTCTGGGTTTAGAGAAGGTGATGAGGAATTGGTTACGGAATGAACAGGATGAGGAATATAGATGCAGCCAGTCCGAAATAGAACCGATAATAAAAAATTGCTCAATATTTAAGGGAGCTGCTCAATTTCATTTAAAGAAATATATTCATTTTTTGAACAAGAATTTTTGCAAGGTGTTGGTGTAATAAGTGTAGAGCTTGAGTCTAGTGATTCTTCTAAATATTTTGTCTATTACACAGAGAAAAATGATCATTCTAAACCATGGGTTGTTGATTTTAATGCACAAAATGGTAACATTCAATGCTCCTACATAAAGTTTGAAATGATGGGTTTATAGTGTTCTCATTGCATAATAGTTTTGAGGCAAATGGCTATTGGGAAAATCCCTGAGAAGTATCTACTGTTGCGATGGTCAGCACGAGCTCGACAAGATATATATTCTAGTCTAAATTTGAAAGAAAATTCTCATAATAACTCTGAAACTAGTAGTAAATTCGTATTCAGAAATTATATCAGTAGGTTTGCATATGAAATGAGCACACGAGCGCAGCTGAATGAGGAGGGTGAAGAATTCCTATTGGCTTCGATGAAGGATACATCTGAAAAACTCAATTTGATTGTTTATGAGAAGAGAAAGACATACAAGTCTACACAGGGTGGCAGTGTACAACTAAAAGATCCTCTAAAGTGTAGGCCTAAAGCCATATCCAATGCTAGGCTGAAAAGCTACCGGGAAAAGAAGCCAAAGAGTATGATTTTATTTTCTAACTAATTTGATTTATTACCTATTGTGATATATTGTTATTAATTTTTTTAACAGGGAAATCACCAGCGAAGAAAAACATAATAAAAATTTCTACTCCTTTAAGCATGCCCTAATGCTTAACGGAGGATTTTATAAATTCTGTACACTCCAAGCAACCATCAGTGCAGTAGTATAATTTCACAAGCATGCCCGAATAATTCACTGAGGACTTCATAAATTCTGTTCAGTCCAGTCAGCCATCAGCTAAGAAGTGCAATTTCACAAGCATGCCTAAATTGTTCACCAATGACTTCATATCACAAGCATGCCCATCTAATTAGGCATCAGTACAGCAGTTCACAAGCGTGCCCGAGTACATGACCGACGATTTCATAGCCGGGGAACCGTCCAGTCAGCCATCAGTAAAGCGAGCAAAGTATTCTAATTTCACAAGCATACCCAAATGCTTCACTCAGGAACACATAAAAGGTGTACGTTCAAAAAAGCCATCAGCAATATACCTGAAGTTGATGATGGATATCATTAAATCAGAAAATTCTATATAATAAGAATATTTGTATTATTATTATTAGAGATATTTATTTTAATAAGAATATTTGTTTTAGATGTGAATTTTCATTTGCGTATGGCCTGCATATGCAATGCGTCCTAGTTGAGTAAATAGAGCGTATTTTTTATGTTGCTCAAAATTCTATGTTGCCTACTTCTATTATTCAAGAGACAAAGAATTTCCATTATTTTTAACCCATTATGAATTTATGATCGCCATTACTGCATTCATAATGTTTGTCATGCATTTGTTTCAGTTGGTTGAGGTTGGTTAACGTGGCTGCTTTAATATCTACTAGTATTAATGGCATTCATTATTGTTTTGATTGAATTTATTTCTCTCTATTATTGATTTGACTCATCTTCTCTATATAAAAAGTTTACCTCTTCCATGAAGAATCGGCATTGCAAAAAACCACACAATAATTATCATCTTCTCTATGTAAGAAGTTTCCCTCTTCCATCCATTACCTTTTAATGTAAAGCTGTGTGAGTTTTTTACAAAAATATCAACTGTGTTTTTGCATTGCAGCTCTTCATGCAATTCTCGTGCTGAAGTTTTAGCAGAAAATATTGCCTAAAAATTCAGCACATGAATTGACATGAAGATGCGGCATGCAAATATACATTTAACATTTTTCTAAAAAAAACCACAAGTTGTTCTTGCGTATTTAAAGCTTACTTACTGTGTATTATATGCGCATTGGATGCATATCGTATGCGTATTTAAAGAACAAATAAAGTTCTTTTATATTATTATATTACACTATCTCATTTAGAAAATTTTTATAATAATTTTTAATGATCCTAAAATGAGTACTTACATAATTCATACTGAAGGAATGCATTGAATCAATTAAATTCTAATTAAATAAATTTTTTAAAGAAAAAAATTGATTAT